TCAGCAACTTCACACACTCCTCTCTGCAAAATGGGGCGAGGATGAGGGAGGAAGCGCGTGGTCACGTAAGGGGTAGACCCGTCCATCAGAGGCTCTCAGATCTGAGTTTCAGGCAAGAAACTTTCAGTATTTCTCAAGGTTATTTGATGTACAAACTCTGCTCAAATTTCAGGCTACTGCATATTTTCCATAACTAATGCGACTCTGTAACAGAATTAGACTTTTTCCAGCGGCACTGTTTTTTCCAGTAGACCCCTGGCCTATGGACTAGGGCAGGGTTTGTTTTGTAGGCATGAAACTGTAACATTTGGGATTACCTTCTTTTAGAAAAGGGACACAAAAATGAACTATAAATATAAGTACTTGGATTAAGAAACAGAGTCCCAACAAATTATAAATTTTAAAAAGCTGACAAATACCACAAACATCACAAAATATACTAAAATAATCATACTTTCATTAACTTCCTGACATATCTTTAAAATACATTTTCCCTACATTGCTGTAATGGTACTTTTTAAATATCAGCTCTTCATTTTAGAATAACCTTTAAAAATATCTTTCTATGGAGATAAACAATAATTTTACTCTAGAATGATTATCAAAATGGTTTCTCAATTATTGATATATTTGAAAAGTGTCATCGAACCTTACAATTCACTTTTTGGAAATGTCATGTAAGTTTTAGCATTGTCAAATTATGGAAACTTTTTTCAAGTTCTTTTTTCATCTATATGTATTTTAAATTTTCTTTCAGTAACTGGTAACTATCTGTAATATAAATGCTCTTTTAATGATATTCACCAGTTTTTCATTAATGCCCTTATCAGAGTGGCATATTATAGCTTTATCTTTATCGGTATTGTGTCCAATCAGTAATAAATTTAAGTATTTTTACAATGTGTTTACATGCTGCATTCATTAATTGGCTTATCAAATAATACAAGAGTGTATAGTGTATTCATTATTTCTATTCAAAATTTAACTCACGAATTACTATTTTTGGCATAATCTGAAATGTGTGTTTTGACAGTAAGCTTTTGACATCAGGATAGCTTCTGACGTCTGTCGCTTGGCGCTGTCCCTCGGGTCCCTAGCAGCAGGACTGAGTGAAGGTGCTTGTCCCATGAGGCGAAGCTCGCATTACATCCCTTGTCGGAGTCTGCAGTGTCACCAAGAGGGGCTACTCGTCAATCCTGTAATTCTCTTGGGAACAGAATTCCAGTGCATTCTGGGGTGTCAGGATCAAATTCAATGTGAACTCTTACGACGTACCCTGATTTTTCCGTGTTGGTTTTCATCTCGTTAATATGCCCCATCCCCTTTAAGACTCACGACTGGCAATGCAGGTTCTGATGCCATCGGCAGAGATGTGAGAGAAGCCAGATCATGGCGACAGTTAGGTGGGAAGTGGCTGGGGGGAGGGTGAGACTTTAGGGGAAGTGACATGGGAACCGGGCCTTAGAGGCGGAACAGAAATTCATCAGAAAGCGAGCCATCACCCAGGGTACTCGCTCTTCTCCTTCCCTCAATGTCCTCGGAACACTAAGCCCTGTGACTTAGCTTCTCGGGAAGAATCACTAACACTGGTCAGTGCTTCCCGTCTGCCAGGGACAATGCCACCGCAACACAGGTGTGACCTGCGTGAGGCCAGAGGGTCTGCGCTCCCTCTCACGGGGCAGGCGGAGACCGCGGCACTTGGGCTTCTAATCCAGGCAGTGGTTCCAAACGTGCGCCTGGCCCTGGCCGCCTGCGTCTCCCTCGCCCACTGCATGCTCGGTGACAGCCTTCCCTGTCAGAGTGGCTCTCTGCTCACTGCCTGTGACACCACCAGTCATTGGCAGACCCCATCAGCCATGTTTGCCGGGGAGCCAACATGCTAAGGCCATCCCAGACATCGTGCTTCCGGTAGCACTGTGTGACACAGGGTCCGAGTCTGTCCTTCCTTCTGTGAGGTTTCTTCAAGGCGCCACCCCCACTGCAGCCCTCAGCACGTGTTCCCAGGACCCCGTCACTACCTGTGGGCACACCTGGCACCTGGCACAGCGCCTCGCTCACAGCACCCTAAACATTTGTAGGAAATTTGGTGCCACTTCGCCTGTGACAGGGTGTGCAGGGAGTAAAAGGGAACGGTGACAAGTGCCTGGCACATGGAGGGAACAGAGAGCATTTGCTCTGTGACCTGGGCCTTGAAACAGAAAGAAAAGAGCTGTCAGGTGGAGGTGGGGCAGGAAGGCGTGTCCCGGGCATGTGGCCTCAGGGCCGACACCAGATCCAGTGTGGTTGATGTGGGGTCCCACCCTGTCTCCCCAAATTTAAAACGAGTCAGGTCAGATCAAAACCGCACACCACATGGACGGAGAGCCTTCTCTACCTGAACAGGGAACCTCATCACGACTTTCCATTTCAGAACAGCTGCCATTTGGTTTCACAAACTAGAAATGATTTAACAGAAAGATTTAGGGTTCTATCCAACAGTCGGGAAACTTGCCAAAATTGGCTTTTTTGGCAACTAACAAGTGTTTGAAACTAAACATTTATGGGAAAAATTTCATCAAATCTGAGGAGTGTATAAATTGCCACAACAAACTCAAGTTAAAATATGAGAAATGACCGTTGCAGATGCCACCGTCGGCACCGCCCCAGGCCTCCACCTGGCTCTGTTCCTGCCAATCCACCTGCAGAGCCAGGCCCGTGGCGTCCGCCGCCCTCTCCTTTCTGGTTCCTGGGGAAGCGCCGGGCCTCACACGACTTAGCAGCTGTGCCACCGGCAGGCCAGGCGGGGACAGCGGTGCGCGCGTCCCTGTGGGGCTGTCCCGCGGGTCCTCACTGCTGGCTTGTTGCCTCCCGGCAGGAAGGCTCCTCTTCACCAGGTGGAGCGTCTGTTCAGGATCGTTTTGCCTCCTGAGTTGGTCCTTGGCGTGACCTTGACATCCAGTGCCAGGCGTTCCATTCTCGCTCGTTTGTGAAGTCCCCTTGGAAGAGTCTGTTACACTAAGAATCGCCAGTGTCACGAGGACTTGTCACCGTGCGCCGTGGTCTCCGTCTGGCTCAGCACCCAATGTCTGCCTGCTGTGTTCACCCATGGCACCCATCCTGGCCTTGGCCAGGCTGCTGTCCCTAGCTGGTCCTCTGTCCTTGTCTCGGGGTCCTTCTGCTGCCACCTCAGTCTTTTTGCTCAACATGCAGAGTTCACCTTTGAGGTTACTAATTCTTTCTTTCAGTGGCCCCATCACTCAGCCCCTCTACAGGATGACTTAGCCCACTGCTTTTTAATAAATATCGTTTTGATCACACCTTTTTCATTGCAGTCTCTCTTAGGTACAAGTTATCTCCAACCGTGTGTCATGTGATGTTTTCATTCTTTACTTACTTTGTTCTCTGAATCGTTTCGTCCGAGGTAAACTTGTTTGTTCCTCTGAACGGCTCATGAGCGGAGCTGCCCCCATTTCCTCTGCAGTTTCCCAAAACATGCCCTTTCCTAGACTGGAAGCCAGCAGTGTCGACCATATCCAGAGGGCCCGGGGGGCTCGGTGTGATCCTAGCCAGCCAGACACCCAACTTGGCTCGGCGGGTGGCTCTGTCCCGACAGCGCGGCCCCTCCTCGTCCCGAGGGGTCAGTCAGCTGCTCCGAGGCCCGAGCTGCTTCCTTCCAGAGCAAGGTCCCACCTCGCCGTGGTGGGAGAAGGGGCAACCAGGGGCCTGCTGTCCATTATGACAGCCTTTACTGAAGTGAGCCCACTCCTCTCCTGAGGAAAGCTAAGGACAACTGTCGCCCAGAAACGACATGTCCCAGGCCCCCCGTCAAGGCTTCCAGGGTCCGTGTGCACCCGAGCGCCTTACTGAGCACACGCTGTGGCCGAATGCTGTTGCAGGCGCCGAGGACAGCGGTTGAAAACGCCCCTGCTCTAATGCGGCTCGTGGGCAAGACAGACCCGTTTCCGACTGGCGAGGGGAGTAAGACGCAGGGAGGAACGCGACAGAGGGGCAGGCTGGGGCGGCTCCGAGGACGAGGCGGCGACAAGCCGGCCTGGCACAGGTGCGGGGACGGGAGGCCAGACGAGGCGTGACAGGCGGGCGCTGTGCTGTGCTGGGCAGGGTGGGACGGGCCGGAACAGGGACCAGACGCCTGGGTACAGTGGCGGGGCATCTTCCTCACTATTAGTTACTACCAATAAAGTGAGACCTAGAATTTGAAAAACTCCACTATAAAATACAGGTTTTACCATAAAAATGTATTTTATGGGTTACCGTTTCAGTATGTATTTTTTAATTTTTAAAAACTTTTTCTCTACATTTTTTTAAATTACGGTTGACATTCAAGAGTATTTTATATTAGCATCAGGTGTACAGCATAGTGGTCAGACATTTATATAACTTATGCAGTGACCCCCCTGACTAGTCTAGCACCCACCTGGCACTGTAGTTATCACCACACCACTGACTATATTCCCTGTGCTGTACTTCACATCTCTGTGACTGTTCTGTAATGACCAACTGGTACTTCTTAATTCCTTTCCTTTTTACGTTGCCCACAGCACCCTCCCGTATGGAGACCATCTGTTCTCTGTATCTATGAGCCTATTTCTGTTTTGTTTATTCTGCTCGTTAGAGTCCACATATCAGCGAGATCGTGTGGTGTTTGTCTTTCTCCGTCTGACTTATCTCACTCAGCATAATACCCGCTAGGTCCATCCATGGTGTCACAAATGATAACATTTCATTCTTCTTTTTATGACAAAGTAATGCTCCATTGAATGTACCACCTCTTCTTTATCCATTCTCTATGGGTGGACACTTAAGTTGCTTCTATATCTTGGCTATTGTAAATAACTCTGCAATGAACACAGGGGTACAGGTATCTTTTCTAATTATTGTTTTTGGTTACTTCAGAAAATACCCACAAGTGGAATGGCTGAGTCATATGGTAGCTCTACTTGTAATTTTTTGAGGAACCTCCATACTGTTTTGTGCATTTCTTAACACAATGAAAACACTAATCACACTCAAAATCTATCGTATTGAGGAACACATATGTAAATAAGACATTTTTGCAGCTGAATTGTACGTTATTTGAAATTATTCCATCAGATGTATGCAGCACAGATTACAAAGGAAGTTTCAGATTGGGCATTTTTCTCCCCATCCTTCCAGATATTATCAAAAGGTCAGGTTCTCTGGGTAAAAGGAAAAGGTCAAATTTTAGGTGCTACTGTACAAAAGTTTTGCACAAATTTAAAAAGCCACCTCCAATTATACTTTCAAATCATTTCATTGAAATCTAGCTCCTATCAATAATATAAAAAATAAATCACACATTTGACACAGATTCCAGAGGGCCAGAACAGAACTATAATGTTTTACAGAAAGTGGCTGGACAGAGGTGACATCCAAGGACATGCACTTTGTAACAAGCACACTGGAGGGCTGCTAGCAACAGATTGCATCTTCACACAGCGCTGTTCACACACGCGAAATGCAGAGAGCGCAGACGAGGCTGGCTTCACGGCCCACAGGCAGGGCAGGTCCGTGGCCCGTTTGCTCTGCTTCCTCTTGGTGTTTATGGCTCAGTTTCACTTACATTTTCTAGATTCAGATTCTAATGTTATATAACCTCGACCCGCCCATTCTCACTTCCCTTTACACAGCACGGCCCAGCAAACACTTCTGTAATGGTGAGGCTAATACAAATGAAAACTGGCAATACACAAACCATCAAGTCTGCTCACCTACTGAGATCAATGAATTAGGTCTAATTTGCTCCTTTTATTAATAAAGGTGACTTTTCATAAAAAGCCATAATGTAATTGAAATAAAAAGTACAAAACTTCACACACAATCACAGCTTTACTTATGTCTATCTGCATGCTCCCTGCCGACTGCTCTTTTCAGTCCTTCAGCGCCACAAACAGCAGTAACCTCCATAAATAAATAGCACGACAGACAGTGTAAACGAGGCAGCCTCAAACGCTCCTGCTGACGCCGTTTTTAAAGGGTTACAAGTAAACTGCGTACAGTGCAGACAGCTTGTCAACCCAGAGATGGTCTTAGGCCATGACTACTGTCACAGTCCAATCTGGATGTTAATATAATCAACTCATAGGTCTGAAAGAAAAGCACTGCTTATTGGTTTCAGATGCATTTTGGTATTTAATGTTTCTAGGCATCTACGAATAATAAATCAGAGCCACAATGACAATGACGACAACGATGACCTGGGACTAAAGCACCTCACACTGACACAAGGCAGCAACCGCAGATGCTGCCAGCGACAAGTGCGTTCATTAAAAGTCATAACCACCTCTAGATTTCTTTAAAAATGAGCAAAGCTAGGCAGCACACACAGGAGAATTTTAATAGAACCTTAATGGTCTAACAAACCTTCCAAATGGAAGGAAATACAAAATAAAGCTGCCACATCACACTTAACCTAGTGCCAGGCTTTGGTGCCACCAGCCATCGTGCCAGCTGCCTGCAGAACCACGGGACATCAGACACGCTGGCTGCAGACGGCTGAAGCCGCACGCACAGCTGTGGGGACCGACAGCTTTATTGACACCTTTCATGATGCTTTTAATCCTGGGATTTTCGTGGGCTCGCTCCTAGTCATGAATTTGAGCGTAACCAATTTCCGCAGAGAAATGTGTAGGTGACCAAATTAAGAATAGCAAGTCTTCCACACATGGGCTCAAATAGGAAGTGTTTTGTTTAGTATAATGAAAAGTTAATTTTTAAAAATATCTGCAGTCTTTTTGAACACAAGGCACCAATAGGGAGCAGACATTTCCAGCAGTGATTGTCTGTTAAAAAAAAAAGGAGCTGGGTGGAGTCCTTTGTCGTCTGGGGGTCAGAGTCCTTCCTCCCTCGTCCCTTCATGCGGGCACCACGTCTTCCAGGTAGTCCGCGATTTCACTGAGCTGGGATGCGGTCAGGTCCTGCGTCACGTCGTCAAGCTTTGGTGTTCAAATGGAAAGATTAGCGTCAGAGGCAAGCAGGGTCGGAAGTAAGTCTTAAAATATACTGCTGTGCTGTGAATATTATCTTATACTCTACAAACTGCTGCGTACTCAGAAGCCCTTTGCCTCACTTTCTTCTTCCTGTTTTGAAATTTGCGATAAGACCAAAAGGCTAACAGGTAAACTTGACATCAACAAGAAAATTGTTAAAATACTCCTTCTGTAGTTGTTTTGGTGACTTTAAAGCAACACTTTTAGGCCTCTTAAGGGTAACATGACGTGAAAAGGCAACAGCAGGAAAGTGTAAGCCTGCACGTCAGGAATTAGAGAAGGCACGCTACATATTATCACTTAACTTGCAAACAGTCCCATGAGGCAGAGGCATTAGAACTTCCATGTCATGAGGATAGAAACTGAGGGCCAAAGGTTAAAAGCTTGCCGAAGAAAACTTACATAAAGAGCAAGAACTGGCCCGCACTGTGCTGTTTTCATTATAAAATGCTGCCTCTGTCAGAGGCCTTGGGCCCACGTGATCGTCACTTGACAGGCACTGCACCTAGAGAATGGTCCTCAACCTGGAAAGCGGCTCTCATCTCCAGGCTGCAGCAGCCCCAACCTGAGAGGCAGGCTCACCTGAGGCAGGTCCAGCACTCTGTTGCGCACCGATATGCAACCTCACACACCTCACATCTAACACACATCTCAAAAGTACTTCCTGGGCCGGCCGAGTGGCCCGATGGTTAAGAGCTGGCTTGGAACACCAGAGGGCCCCGGTTCAGATCCCACATATGAGGGCCAGTGACACTGCCCTCTACAGCTAAGATGCTGAACAACAGCTCAACCTGGAGCTGGGCTGCCGTGAGTCGCTGGCAACGGCATAGGCTGCAGCCCCTGCTGCAGTGGGTTGCCATGGGCTACCGTGTGTAACCAGCAGCCAGCGTGAGCGGCCCTCAAGCCGCCGTGAGCGGCTGTCCAGAAGCCAGTGACTGATCTGCCTCGCCCGGGAAGAGCGCAATGATGGTGCCAACTTGGGCCAGTGAGGCAACGTCCTCCACAACTAGACTGAAGAACAAAAGGACAGCAACTTGTCTGTTCCCCTTCCCCCAAATCCCCAATAAAAAATAAAAATAAATAAAAAAGTCCTTCCTGCTCTCCGCCTAACAAAAAAGTCCCCTCGGATCTCCAGTACGAACTCCTAATTTTACACTGGCTCCATTTCTGCCGCCTTGTCTCTTGGGTGTCTCATGCCCGACCTGCCGCCCAGAGCTCACCACCGTGTTCAGACTCAGCCGCACCCCCGCACGCATAGGACTCACACACGCGCCGGTTTCTGACGCCGGCTTTTCTGTGAAAGACCTCTCGCCTATAAAGACTGTCTACACTACTGCAGTCCTAACCCACGTGGCCCACCTGAAGCCATCGCAGGGGTGGCCCGGTGACAATGCACACACATTTCAGAAGCACCTGACCAGCAGCCTAAGTGAGTGACAACCGAAAACAATCTACATTATTCAGTAAAGGCATTCTTTTCAGACTGGGATCAAGTAACTCTGTCCTAAACTTTTCACAATTTTCAACTATGTTTTTCCTAATTTGTGTAAATTCCTGAAGCTTTACAGTAAATCAGGACAGCACTCCATGGGAAATGCACACCACCGTACTTTGTCACTGGAATTGGCGTCGTCTAGCTCCACGGAGAGGTCTTCCTCGATCTCTTCACCAATACTTAACTCACTCTTTTCTGAGCGGTGGCTGGTGCAATTTCAGGGGAAAAGGAAAAAACAAGAACTCTAAATACAAACACTTCAAGAGTAACTACCATTCTTCAACCTTTCAAATATTTATTTTAATGTGAAACAAAATGTTAAGAAATGTCATCTGAATCAGAAAAACAACGAGAGGGCACTTTTTTAAGCTGAATGAGGCCCACTCGCACCAGACAGGTGAGAGGAGGAGAGAGCAGCTACACATGTGACCCAGCTGCTTCTGACTGACTGGAGTCACTTCCTCAGTCATTTCTTATCTATTCTTATCAAGTTTCCTGAACACAGCTGGAGGTCCATTCACACGCTAATGTACAATCAAAACCATGGTTCACAGTCCAATGCATAATTTTGGATTAACCATCATCTTTTTATACTCACTTTCAATCAATATGAACAAAAGAATCAAATACACTAAAATAATCACCAATGTCACTTTGTCCTACTTCCTGTGTCCAGATGTTTAATTTCTATCTTTGTTCCCAACTGCTTTTCTTACCTATTAAAGTCATCCACGTAGTCATCACCTCCAGTCCCTACAAGTTTAGGAAAAAGACATACGTTATATTTAGATAAACACACCTCACGATTTATCTACAACTAAATACACTTCCTTCCAAAAAAGAAAAACTACATTACTAAATTTTATTGCATCATTAAAAGAGAAGTCTCAAAGATTGGACGTAGTGTTTTTACCATATATAGTATGAAAGAAAAGGACAAAATAAACTACCTAAGAAATAATAAAATGTTATATCCTATCAAAATACAGTTAATATCTAGCCTTTTTCTCCAAGTACTCAAAAGCTGAACCATGGTGTGTGTTTACCATGTATAGCGTCAGCGGATATTAAAACCCGTATTGACAGAACAGGATCCAGCAAAAGCCAGTTACTGCCGCCCCGGCTCTTCGCTTTCTGAGCTGCGAGGCTTTGGCTCCATCCAGTTTCAAAATTAGAAACGAACCACGAGGTGTGAGGAGCAGGACACAGTACACGAGGGCACCTTCCCTCAGGCAGAGCTGGGCTCAAGTCCTGGACCCAGCTCTGAAGAGGTCGCGGGGCGTGGGCAGCAGGTACGTGACCTCAGCTCGAAGGGGGGGCACACCCACCCCAAGCACAGGGTGCCAAGTGCTAGCGAGCAGCAAGCACTGACTAAAGGGATGTCACAGGGTGGGGGCGGCTGCCGAGGAACGAGCCCCTGCATGCGTCTACAGTGCGCCACGGGCGCCTTGGACTGTCACATCGTCCATCACCCCCGCCAGGTCTTTTGAGGGACAGTGGAGCACACAGGGCTGCCAACCTCAAAGCAAAGGCTCTGGGGCTGTGAGAGCCCCGGCGTGCGGAGGACACGCGGGGGTCACATGTCACCGGCACAGTGCAGACCATGGAGAGGCAGCTCGATAAAGAGCTATCCGAGACGCTCCGGGACGGGTGCCCACGTTCTTCAAAGCCACGTCACACCGGGCCATCCCGACGTCACAGGCACTGCCGAGGGTGGGCAGTCAGGTAAGCTGAGCCTCCTCTCCCCATCAGAGTGACGGCTGGTGTAAGGTTTACGCGCCTGTGGCACACCTGAGGGACAGCCAGCACTCCAGCGGGGAGGAAGGGGCAGCAGCAGCTGAACAGACCAGACGCGCGGGGGTGGCAGCTGACTGGAAACCTGGGGAAGGCAGCGTACACACGTTCCTGGGGACGTGCGTTCCTAGAAGCTACACGTGCAAAGGCCCTGCTGGGGGAGGGTGGTGGTTTGCAAAAGTGAGGAAGCCAGTATAACCACAGAAGCATGAATTTGGAGGCAGGGTAGGGGAAAGACGAGGAGAGGGGAGCACAACGGCTGGCTGGCAGCGGCCACGTAGGGCCTGGCAGGTCGTCAGGACTTCAGCCTAATGGGGGGGGGGGGGGGCAGGGGGATCAGAGAACAGGTAAACAGGTCTGACTTCTGCTTGCCACAGACACGCCCACCACTGCAGGAGGAGCCGGGAGGGGAGGGGAAGGGAGCGGAGCGGAGCGCCCTGTGAGGCCCAGGCCCGGCCAGACGGTGGCATTAAGGGTGGGAGGCGAGTGTCCTGTAGGTCAGAGGGAGGCAGGCTGTCCAGGACAGGAGGGGACGGGCAGAAAACGAAGGTCACGGGAATCACAGCTGCTGCTCCAGCCCAATCACTGCGACGATGAATCAGGAGTCCCTGACAACAGGCAGCGAGTGAGCACAAGTTTCCGGGTAGCTTCCTCTCTCGAATAAATGGCCCATCTGCATCCGCAGCCAAGATGACTCATGGCCTCAAAGGTTAGGGCTGTGCAATGCTCGTAAGAAAGCAGAACCGTCAGGCCGAGCGCAGGACCGAACAGGGGTGGAAACCGTCTGATCAAACAAGCCACAAAGGTGGCTGCTGTGCAAATGTCAAGACAAACTACAGCAGCAGCCACTCCAAGAGCCGGGAGAGCCTCCAAGGCCAGTCACGGTGTCCCCGTGTGAACTCCAACGCAGACAATTGAAGTGAAAGCTCAGCCAAGATGGCAGGCCAGCCGGGCGGCAGTGCAGACTCAGAGCTCAGCGAGCTCACCTTCCATCTCACAGCCAACGCAAAGACTGAACGGTCACCGAAAAACGGGGGAACACGCCCTGACATCCTGACTCCCTGGCTACCCGTGGACTCCAGATATGTATATATAAGCGTGGCCCACAGGACGTCCAGCTAACAACCTGTTTTTGTACAGCCTGCAAGCTAAGAATGGCCCTTACATTTTTCAAGGATTAAAAAAACAAAGGATATGCAATAGAGACCACACGTGGCCCACAAAGCCCAACGGTCGCTGTTCGGCCCTTTATAGAAAGTTTGCCGATTTGTGCTTGGACCCTACAAAGTGCCTGTCTCTGAACACAGGTGCCTGTCGCTAGTATCTGTCCACCAAACTAAAGCAAGCGGTGTCTAAAGCTTTACATGTAAATTGTTTCTTTGGGACCCGGAATTAGTGAGTTTCCACTAAATAATGTCTAGGCTGTAAAGCACAGTGCTTGGGGGTCTGTGATATATCAGGATTCTAACAGCAGTGTGACCTTAGGCAAGTAACTTAACCCAGGTTCTTCATCTGTAAAAGTGGAGGTAATAATGAAACCTACGTCATAGGACAAGAATTGAAATAAAACAGTGTCTTGGTACAGTGCCAGGCAAATCACTAGCATCAGTATTATCTTGGGCTGGTCCACTAACAGTTATATAGTATTACAATACTGAGAATAATTATCGTATGTTTACAATGAAAATAAAAATACACAGAAAACAATACTGCTGCAGTACCATTAAATAAAACTGAATCAAGTCTTATTTATCCTGAATCCAATGTCTGGCTCAGTGACCAAACACCCACCCTGGGAATGGCGAGTCTCACCCATGTGACCAGCGAAATGCCAGCCCCAGGCCTGCCCAGGCTCCACCAGCAAGCGGGGTGAAGATCAGACGGCCTCCGTACCCCACAGCCCCATCTGAGGCCACAGAACCCTCGCCCTCGCCAGGGAGAACTTCCAGCAGCTCCTGAAGCACAGGCAGGGGACACCCTGGCTTGGACCGGGAACAGAGCAGTCAGAGGGACGCTAGATGGCTTGGCGAGAGCGAAGCCTTCAAAGGGGAGACACAGACAAAACCCAGAGCTGACAGGCAGGTGGCTATCCACCAGGGCCAAGGCTGGAGCCGACTGACTGTACATCGGGCTGTGGAAGAACAGAGGGGGGAGCAGCCCCCCGCGCTGCCTGCCAGCGAGCACCAACTCAGCAGTTCCCGCGAGTCCGCGTCACTGAACAGAGTCCGGCGCTCAGGGAACACCCACCTGTTCTGCGGGAATGGCTGTCAAGGGGGCACAAGGGAACACAGGGAGTGAGGCACCCACCTGCCCTGCCCGGCACTGCGCTGCACGTGTGCGCCTCTTTAGATTTTAGTCCCTCTCTCCCTTGGGAGAGATGCTATTCGTCCCACTTAACGGATGAGGAAATAGCTCAGCTGACCTACCTACCAGACGAAACAATTAGTGCCGCACCTGAGATTTCACCTAAATCTATGCCCCTCTCTACGATGTTCCTCCCAAAGTGGGAAGGGCGCTCCTCTGAGCTGTCCCACTCAGACGCCTGCAAGGACAAGGGTACAGGATGCCAGGGCCACGGCCCCTTTCCCAGCCTGCCTGGGACACATGGCCCAGCGCTCCCACATGGGAGCGAGCCCCGAGACCAGGGAGAGCCTACCGCTGTTTCACGCACACACTTCACATGCCCAGACAGGAAGACAATGGCCACGAGAACCCAGCTGAACTGTCTGCTTCCTTCCGGCCAGCTACGCAGTAAGGTGTGCCTAGATACGCCTATCCCAGCGTCTGGGCAGACAGAAACCCGGGTGCGAAGCCCACTCTCCATGAGCGGCCGGGCTCCACGGTCCACAGGGACCTGCCTTCTGCAGGATGCGTGCACCAACTCGGGGTCACACACTGCGGCTCCATGTAACAGAGCTGCACCCCACATCCCACAGTGCTTCCGGTCACACGGCTGACCCCTCCACTAGACCAACTCCCTAGGGCCTCTGGGCACAAACTCTCCAGCCTGAACCACAATCTCTTCCCTTCTCCCTTACCCATCGGGTCTCAGCAGAGATGTCACTTCCTAGGAGGGGTGGTCCCGGAACGCCTGCGTTGGGTTAAGTCACCCTACTCCCCTGCTGCTACTCAGTGTCTGCGGCCCCCGCTCGCTGCCCGCCTGCCCTACGAGAACTGGAACTCCATGAGGACGGTCTGTGTGGTCGCCACTATGTACACTCCTGCACGCGGAGTGAGCCCGGACACAAAAACCATGCAAACGTGTGCTCACGAGGTACTCAGTACTCGGGGCAGGCTGACCAAGTCACTGCATTTAAGATTTTACTCTAAAAAAATAACCACCTTCGAGCAATCAGCACTAAAATTGAAAACCTTGTTACCTAATCCTAGTGATCCGATTTTGTCATTGACCAATTTCAGATCTTTCAGCACTGTGTTTCCCCTTTTACCTGTGAAGAGGAAAAAATATCCACATTAGATCAACATTTAGAATACAACAATCTCTAAAACACGTCATTTGTTTTTTACAGAATAGTGTTTCTTTACGACAGATGCATCCCTTTTTAAGTCACACGTAATTCTATTCTTTATTGGAACCTGGCCATCAAAATAACTTTTTGCCCAACTGTCAGATATCACCTTCTTTCTTATAAAGCCCCACTGTAGTTCATGGACTACAGCAATTCTCATTAATTTTATTTTCATTTGAACCTCTAAATATTGCTTCAATTCAATCACTTTTTCATTTACCAAACTGAATTCCTCTCGCTGGTTTTGTTTCTTCGGTCCTTGGTTTTCAGGGTGCTCCCTAATCAGTGTGAAGAGTGACCTGGACATGACATTCCACATGCCTCTACCCAAGGTGGCAATAACCACGGCAAAGAGAAAGGGAACCTGGCGTGGCCATATTCAGATACACGGCTGGCTTGCTGGATGGTAAGCGGAGCCACAGGCCATCTCGTGTGTGGGTCCCGGGTATCCTACAGTGGTACCGTGTGACACGAAAAGCTTAGTAAGGACTGCAGCTATGCACACCACTCTCTAATTTCCTAACAGAGATGTGCTTTTTGGAGAACCCAAGAGGCACGTTTATGCTCTGCACACTGCCGATGAAACCCTATGCTCACTATGATGCAGACACAAGTTCATCGGCACGTTTATGCTCTGCACACTGCCGATGAAACCCTATGCTCACTATGATGCAGACACAAGTTCATCGGCACGTTTATGCTCTGCACACTGCCGATGAAACCCTATGCTCACTATGATGCAGACACAAGTTCATCGGCACTTCTCCCTGGTCTTGTCACCATGTGTGGGAGGGGACGGAGGGAGCCCGTGGGCCACTCCACGTGTACGGAGCTAACGGTCCGTCTGCTGCACAGGAAGCTACGGCAGGTCCAAGCCCTGAAGGCAGCAGCCTGAGCTCACACCCTGTGTTGACTGCTGTGGTGGCACAGGAATTAGAAAACAAATGTTTAAAAGCTAATTCAATTTAAATCCTATTCAAGTCCATCTAAATGTCCAAGAGAGATGGTTTAAAAATTACATCTATGTGTGTGTATATGATAGGCAGCTAAAAAGTCGTATTTCCTGCAAGTACATATTTTGATGATGTAGGAAAAGCAGAATACAGACCATATTAAAAAGAAATGAACTACAGAATACAACTTAACAGGAATAATCTCTGAGTGGTAAAATTATGGGCTATTTTATGATTTTACACAATTTTTTCTGAGAAAAATAAACAATGATCACATACTACTTAATTCATTAGAGAGAAAAACATCATCAGTATTCAATGTCTACGTCTTCAGTCACACATCTAGGGAGCTGGCACTCACTTTCAGAGTCTTTCAATGAGGGGGCTCCCGTGAGGGAGCTGAGTCCACTTTTTAGTGGGGGGGCGTCGGAGAGCGATGCCAGGCTTCCGACTCGCTTACTAGGTTCGCTTCTCCTAACAAGAAACAAGTGTACAGTTAAACGGCGCCCTCAGGCTCAGCTCTAAAACAGTGTCACTCAAATAATGGCATCTGCACACAGTGGCTGGGAGATCACCAGGACACAGAGCGACGGGCAGTGCCCGAGAGGCTCAGGAGCCGCTCTGGAATGCCGCTGGACATCTCACACTTGAGCTGCTCGTCTTCACCTTCCCCGTCTGTGATTCTAGCAGAAGCCCCTTCCATGGCCCGGGAATGCCGGCAACGGCCGGCACCGGCCACAGCACCGCAAACACGAGACCAGCCCCCGAGGGCTGCTCCGGCTGCTCCCGCCTTCCATCCCGGGCATGCGACACTGCCCGGCGCTCGGCCCCGCCCCCTGGCTGACCCCCGCATGCAGCAAGTCCATCCCCCTGTGACTGCACCCCTCCAGCCCTCGAGCCTCCACTGTGGGCTCACGAGAACGTCCACGGCTCCCACCCTCACGTGCGCCCACCGACAAGCGCTCCCAACCTTCCATCCGCCCCGCGAAGGAAGAGCCCGGGGCCCTGCGCTCGCACAGGCGGCACGCCAGGGGTCCTCCTTCCCCGACACGGTTAGCTTTTACTCTTCAAAATCGGGTTTTCTCACCAACATTCACACATGCTGCGATTTTACCCACTTTAGTGGTTCTGAACCTCACACCCCACGCTACAGCCATCACCCCATTCCTCTGCACCGCGTGACAATGAGCTCATCAGGAGATGATTCACCACCCACGATCCTCTCCATCGTTCTTTCTCGAACCCACCGCTCTACTCCATGAAGACCCACCAGCCACCTGCCGCCATTCCGGCTGAACCTCTGGTCATCGGCTCCATGCCACGCGGCTGCTCCCCCAGGCCCCTCCTTCAAGGGGGCCTCCCCCAGCTCTCTCGGCCTTTCCAGCTTCCTCCTCAAGCCGCTGACCCGGAGGTGCCGCTGTGGCCACATCCTGGTGACCTCCTCAGGGTCCCAGCTTTCAGCACCGTCTGGGGGCCTGTCGCCAGGCTGCGCCCTCAGTGCCCAGGCTCGTCCACTTTCCACGCCGTCTTCTCACACGTGTCAGGTGGGAAGTGGGCTCCCGCCTGCGCACGCCCGCCCACCCGTTCATCTCAGTCGACGGTGTGTCCCCCTTCTGCGATCCCGCCCGCAGATGCAAGAACTTCCCTGGATAGCGTTTCTTCTCTGAACGCTTCCTGGCACATCCTTCTGGCTCTCATCTCAGAACACACCCCACACCCGTTTCTCAGCACTTCCACCACCACCTCTCACCTGAACAATCCTAAAAGCTTTGCACCTGGAAACCCTGCGCCTGCACACGAATCCCCACAGCGAGGCGATGCTGTGACAGTGTGTGTGGGGTCCAGTCACTCAGCTGCAGACCCCGGGCTTAGGGTCTTCCCCCAGCACAGGCTGCCCCTTCCGTGGTGAGTCCGCCCCTCGCCTCTCTGACCTGCCGCCCGCTCCGCGCGGCTGTTTCCTCTCCCCAGAGCACCCGCAGCCCTCACATCTGCCTAGCCCACTCTCACCTCCTCCGGCTCCAACGGCCACCCCTCGAAGGTAGGCCTTCTCTGACACCCTACTGAAAACACGTGCCCCCATCCCCACACACCCCTCCCTCCGGGACACCGACTGCACCCGCCCGACATGACACAACACGTGACTCTCACTTCTGTCTCCTGTCCAGTGTCAGCTTCCCGAGGCGGGGTGTCCGCCCCTTCTCACCGCTGCGCCCCTTCTCACCGCTGTGCCCCGCACCTCACGCCGCGCCTGACACACGAGAGGTGCTCAGTTTATACTTTCCCACTGAGATCATCGCTAGGTTTTTACCCATCTGGAATTGTGTTACAACATAAAAGGCTTTACTGGCACAAAATCAGACCTACGAATTCAATAATCATAGACCCTTTAGCAGCTCACTACTTTTTAACTGTAAAACATTTAGAAATTATATTAAGCCTCTAGTCTGATAACCCAAAACACAGTTTACTCACCACCCGTACATTTTCTCTGGTTTAGGAATGGGGTCATCAAAGAAAGAGTCTCCTTCCATATCATCTTCATCTGGACAAAGACCAGCTCTGTCTTTGTCATCTAGACCTTTGTTGTTTAACAAAGATCCAATTTTTGTTTCATGGGCCAATAAGTGAAGACTGTTTTTACTTTTGAGTTCTGAGGAGGAGATGCTTGTATCACTCTGACTAGCATCACTGCTGGCCTACAAAGAGAGAGAGGGAAAGAGAAAAGGTCTGCTTGGTGAAATAAAACTTTAATATTTTAAATAATAAAAAGTCACGTGAACATATGCAGGTCTGTGTCTGTGTGCGTGTGAGCATGAGTGTGGGGGGAAGGGTGGGGGAGGGGGCTGCAACCGCACGAGGTCCAGGGTGACCCTACAACCTATCAGCTCATCCCCGGGCCTCATGGCATGGCTAACTTGGCTAACTTTTGAAGGGGGAAACTGTCGAAGAAATATGCCCATCCCACTCCATTCAACCCTCCCTAATGGAAATATCTTTGCTGTGCCTATCCCATTTAGAAATGTTTCCATTTCTCCTTACACACACATCACTGCTTCATAAGTTATCTTAACGTTTTCAACTTGCCGACAAGAGAATGGATTACTAGTAGAGAAGGAAGATTAGTTCACATTCACGAACCAAGTATTAAAACAAAGTGTTCATCAGTCAAGATAGCAGTTTTCCATCCAGCGCCAAATATGACAGACATCAAGGTGGAAGATACAGCCTGGACCGTTCACGCTTCTAACGCACAGACTTGCTACCAGTGAAGTCTCAACGCTGACCTTAACTCAGGCCTTTAGAGTATCTCCCTAATCCACGCCTAGGTGTCCACATATACACATGTGTGTATATGCTCCTATGTACCCAAACCAATGTACAAAATTCTCAAGCATCTTGACGCGTGTCCTCCGGACCTGGCGGTGCTGGCACAGAACAGCACGTGTGCCTTGTCTGCAGTTAGCCCTGACCTTGACTACCTCATTTATTCTCTCCTTTTTCAGATTTCCTTTTGCTCTTAGACAAGCCTATGTCAACAATAAAAACAAAACAAAACAAAACATTGAGACAGTAATAATAAAAGTAGCTACCATTTAGGAAAAGCTTTCAAATACTTCCCACAGGTTATATCATTTTAATCCTCAAAATAACCCTGTGGCCTGGGGGTAGGTTCTGTTTTCTCTACAGATATGGAAAAGGAGACATACAGACATTTCAGGCACTTGCCAAGGTCCCCAGGGAGCTAAGGGGTCAGGTCAACATCAAATCTGATGCCAGGGGTTAGCTGTTAATACGTATGTTACGCTATTAGGTTGAGTCATATGAAATTGCAGTTTCTGTGGGTTCAAAATGGCAATTTCTCAGGATCCAGCCTTGCACCCTAAAAAGAGCAGCACAGGCTGTGCCAGAGGCCTGTGGTGTGCGAGCAATGCACTCCTGAAACACAGATGGGAACGCAGTCCACTCTCTGCTACTCACCACTCAATCTCGACAAACTAATGTTTCCAAGCATGAATTTCCTCCAGAATTCAACCAGGGCAGGATTTTCCAAATCACATTATTACTGCAAGTTAAGAATGGAAGGCTGGCGAAAAGCGAGTGACTCGAAGCAAAGCGGTAAAAATGCGGTTAGAAATGTCTGAACAAGCCTCTCTCCAAGGGCGACTTCAGTTTGAATGTGTGAACAGACAGAACATACTGTGCACAGAGTAAGACAGACCTTTCTATTATTACACTAGTCACAGGCCACGCTTGGTCGACAGCAGGCAACACAGGATATTTTCAAAGAAGCGGAAAGTTAAAAAAATGTCGTTAACAGCTTTCTTGAAGTTTTCCTGGTATAAATTTTCAGAATAGAGAAGCACCATCCACCTATGTACTTCTTAACTAGATTCATGCCCACTGTAATTTCTGATTTACACGTTTTAAAGATTGATTTCTATCATTTCAAAGGCACATGCAGTTGGAAATAAATACCCTAAGTCTTGTGATAATTGAACACATTTCCAATTATAGAGACAATAGTGATAGATTCTTTACTTCAAAACACTGAGACGGTTCAAAGGGCAACAGGCATGAAACCAAGGGAAACGTGAACGTACAGCAACACCCCCACAAGCAGTGGTTATTCCGGCAAAGTCACCATCATCAGCACAATTCAAGGGCGCATAAGGAGCTCTCTAAGCTTAGTGACTAATGTGTACCCACGACCCTTCTGACTGGTTTTAGTAATTGCCCTGCTATGGAGAGAACAGTTTTAGGACAAGTTTCATGGAGAAAGCACACTATGATGTTCAACACAACACGTATTTCTAAAAATACTAATTAGTATCTTTTAAAACTATAGTTCTATTTATGGAGTAAAATTAAAACTTTAAAGCGATCTGCTTTGGAACTGTTCTCGGAATCAATGTCTAAACCACAGAGGAAGGCGTCATGACTTTACTAACTGTGGCTCTTTTTTTTTTTTTAACCAAAAAGACCATTAACCAATGGGTTACTGATATATTTACTAAACTTAATTCCAAATAATCTTCACTATTAAAAAATCTACACTAAAAGGAGAAAGATTTATCAAAATATTCTGCAGGGCCAGCCGAGTGGCGCGATGGTTAAGAGCTGGCTTGGGACGCCAGAGGGCCCCGGTTCGGATCCCACATGAGGGCCAGTGACACTGCCCTCTGCAACTAAGATGCTGAACAACAGCTCAACCTGGAGCTGGGCTGCCATGAGGTGACAGCGTAGGTTGCAGCCCCTGTGGCAGTGGGTTGCCATGGGCTACCATGTGTAGCCAGCAGCCAGCGTGAGCGGCCAGCAGCCGCAGTGAGCAGCTGTCCAGAAACCGGCGACTGATCTGCCTCACCCGGGAAGAGCGCAATGATGGTGCCAACTTGGGCCAGTGAAGCGACGTCCTCCACAACTAGACTGAAGAACAAAACGACAGCAACTTGTCTGTTCCCCTTCCCCCAATTCCCCAATAAAAATCTTTAAAAAAAGACAAAAAAAAGATTCTGAGGATTAAAACAAAAGTACCGTAAAACTTTAAGAGCAGTTTCCATGGAGGAAGTCACATCTTTTGAGCAACAAATCGACTCTGATGTACACCACGGGATCTGTTTAAAAGCCTCTATTATGGCTTAAGATAAGTCTTCATCTTACATACAGAAGCTTCAGTTACTGGGTTCTATCAACTAGCTGTGGATAGGGAGCTCCGATTCAGGATGAATCAACAGCGGAGGTTAAGAACTGTTTGAAACAAGGAAGTGTGAACATCAGCCACCAAACAGAATGCCACAATAATGCCTTGGAGTTCACTCCCTGGACAGCCCCAGCGGCCTCAGTGTTGTTACGGGATAAACTGTCTCTCCCCAAACACCTAAGCTAAAGTCCTAACTGCCAGTACTGCAGGGCGTGCCATTCCTTATTCACAAGTCAGGTCACTGCAGAGGTGGCCAGCTGACATCACACTCGAGTGTGACAGCCCCTGACCCAACATGCCTGGTGCCCTTACAGACGAGGGCAGGCACACGGGAAACGCCATGAGCACGGTGCTTGAGGCCAGTGAGGGATGCCTAGGATTGCCAGGAGCCACCAGGGGCGGGACAGAACTGGACAGAATCTCCGTCCAGTCCTCATCGGGGACCGACCCTGCCACACCTGATCTCGGGTGTCCAGCCTCCAGGACATACATGAGGCAGGAAATTTCTGCTGTTTCAGGCCACCAAGTTTGTGGTACTTTGCTAAAGCAGCCCTAGGAGCTGAGAGGTGTTTATAACAACTAAAACTTACAGTAAAGTTTGTCTCTTCATAAAAGCGAGGCCCCTGCACAGCATGGGAGCAGCCGTTAAATTCCCCTGGCTAGAGCTCAAGACTAATCAGCTTTATGATAAATTACAGTAAAGTCGTGGGCAAGTTTTTGTATATGCTTCGTTTTCTGCGAGTACATTTATATATTCAAACTTGCAAGCATTTCTAGATTAACAAAATGAGCATCATGAAGTCGTTTCACAGTAAAAGTAATACTAATTTTCCATTAGACAAAAACTTGAATTACCACTAGCATGTCTTATGAACCTAGAAAAAAATCATTGCTTTTCTAAGTGAAAGGCTTAATCTGCACTGCTTATAATAGAGAAACATCAAAGCTAAAGAAATACACCAGTTTTGCAAATTTTCAAAGAATTCATGCAATTATGTCCCCCTGCCCATGCCTCCACCTCCCCAGCCCCGCCAAAAGCAGTGCTGACCCTGACTTATAATAAATCACTTGGAAAAGTGATTTACTACAGCTGTAACACACACATGCATATTTAAAACTTCACCTAGAAAGCAAACACAGTGGAATTCTAGCATCACAAAATGTAAACCCCTCTCTGAAAACCCCATTTTCTAGAAAAACGCTGCCGCTATGCTGCATAAACCCCTGTAACCTCACAGGTGCACAGGAGAGCCAGCTCCCGGGCTCTGGAGTCAGACTTGGTGGCGCTCTGCACAGCTGTCCGCTCTGTCCCCACCCAGCCCTCAGCTCTGGCCTGGGCGACAAGTACTGCCAAGGTGTCGGTCTGCATGTGAAGCGGCAGCTGCGGCTGGCAGAGCCGCCAGGCAGAGAGGCGGAGGGCAAAGGGCGGGTGGGGCATGCGCGTGGTCCTCATCCATCCATTCACTTATTCGGGTGCGGTGTGGGAGGTGTAGGGAATGACGGTGCGTGGGTTATCTAGAAAACCCTGAGGTGACTGCGAGGACCCGCAGAAACCCCGCAGCATACACAGACTGTAACCCCCAGCACTGCCCTGATCAACATCAAGCTGGGTTCATCCCGAGTTTTGAAAACAAGGGGCAATGGATTGAGAAATGTCCTTTTTTAAGAACTTGAAACAAACAAATTCCTCAATATATACTAGTTTTAAAACACCTGAAAACTGATTATAAAAAGGCTAACCATTCATATTATACTTGATGTGATGATTAAAAAAACATCTTATTCTAAATATTTAAAACAAAAAGACATCTAATATCTTATTCGGGTTTTCCAACTGAGTGTAAAAACCTAAGTTAGTGGAGCCTACCAAAAAAAGTCTACTGTAATTTTTAATGCCTGCTGGTCCAGTCCGCTCCCACACTGCAGGCCTGCCCCATCGGCCAGCAAGGCCGCCACTTAGGGCTTTGCCCAGCTGGGCAATGGCTCCCCCTGGAGTCCTGTTGTGTCCGACCTCAAGCTCCAAGGGCAGCTTGGTATCTGGATTATTAGGATGTTAGGACGTTAGGATATTAAGGATACTGGGGACCCACTACATGCACGAGGCACAGCAGGACGGCAGAGGCATGAAGGGCTAAGGGCTCGTCTCTCAGGCTGGAAATAGACGGGCTGGGTAAACAGACTCCTCCTACAGCAACTTGGAAACAAGATCAGGGAAGCAGAGAAAAAAAGCTTTCAAAGTGATGGAGGAAGTGCCCTAGTCTCAGGAACACAGCGATGAAGTACATAAAAGGGGCCCTACTGCCAGCCCACCACTGCAGGAAGCGACTGGTTCAGGCCACACTTCGTTCCCCCAGCTCAGGGGAGCAGCGGAGGCTGAGCCGCCCCAGAGCGAAGGTCGCGCGCGGCTGGGCCACCGCAGCCGCCCCTCACACAGTGCAAATGCTTCTCCGCGTGCTCTGGCTCTAGGGATCAACTTCTTCAAAAGGTTTTAACTTCCTTAAAACCCACACCAGTAAGAGTACAGAAATTTAATACTATGAAATATGCTCTTATTTTTTTTAAAAAGTCCAAGATACTTATTAAAAGCATCTATAAAAAACATGCTGTTTTATACTTTTAGTTATCTTTATTCTGTCTCGGCTCTCCAATTAGACTGTAAACTGCTTGAGTGAGGACCTATGAAGTGTCTTGCCCAGAGCACTTCACACGCTGATTTTCATGAGGTAATGTTCAAATATGCTTGCTGGAAAACATTCCACAACATCTTCTCATACAGTAATGCATAAAAAATACTGCGAACAGATAAAACAATAGGAGTTTACCGCTGGAACCAACAGAACACAACTAACACAACAAACACAATTTTTAAAAGCCCTTTCATTTTGGAGGTCCTCAATAATTTATACATAAACCAAGGTTCAACAAGGACTAATCAATCTCACAGAATTCAGTTAAATACTTATCTTATTCTAAGTAACTGTTAAGAACTGTACTGGGGACGGCCGAGTGGCTCACTTGGTTAAGAGCACAAGCTCTGAGCAATAGGCTTGCCGGTCTGATTCCCACATGGGCCAGTGAGCTGCCAACAGGTAGCAGGATGGCTCAGCTGGTGAGAGCACAAGCTCTTAACAACAAGGTTGCTGGTTTGACTCCCACATGGGATGGTAGCTACGCCCACTCGCAACTAAGATTGAACACAGCACCTTGAGCTGCAGCCAGGGGCTGCCGACGGGTGGCCAGATGGCGACTGGACTTGGAGCTGAGCTAGCTGCGCCCTCCACAACTAAGACTGAAGGACAACANCTCCACAACTAAGACTGAAGGACAACAACTTGGCTGTTCCCCTTCCCCAATTCCCCAATAAAATATTAAAAAAAAAAAAAAACTTTACTAATAATGCAGCCAAGGCACGTGACGGCGGGGCCCCACCTCCAGGGCCTAATCAACGTGGTTTCATAAGCTGCTGAACACAAAGACGTCTGGAAGGAAACTAAGTTTAGATTTTAATTTATTGACTGGAGCCTATCCAAAAAGTAGCATGATGCTCTATTTACCTCAGATAAAAATCATAATATCAAGAATATGTACATAACCATCCATTCAAACAAAACATTTTCAACTTCTTTTATTGCCAAAAAGCAAGGAATTCTCAAAATAAAACTGACAGTGTAGTTTTAAACTACAACAGTATGATTTTCACCTAGGTAAAAATTGGAAGTCAAGTCCCTTGTGGTTTCACGCCACCCCGCCGTTGTCATGTTCTGACTACAGACACAGTGATGTCTGAAAGGCAAGACTGGCCCCAGGCCCACGGAGTCGAGCCCCAGCAGGAGGCGGCGCTGGCGGCGCCTGGCCTGCCCAGCACAGGCGCTGCGCCCTCTGCCCTCACGCGTGTTACCTTGGCACCAGACTTCTGCCCGCTTGTCTTCTTCTTACCTTGTCCTGTATACCTTGGTATCTGAGCATGAGAATAAAATGACATTTTACCACAAAGTAAAAATATTTAAAAATAAACGAATTCATAACCAAACTAAAAAAGATTCCTATTAGAAAATTTCTTAAACGTGGAAAAATCGAATTCATAAGTTCCTTTTTTAAATCCACTTTCTTGGTCTTTCCCAACTCTCTTCCTCAAGTGGTTCAGCTCCTGTCTACTTCCTGTCCAGCAGGCGCCGGGCCTTCCTCGGCCGCCCCGACTAGCACCATGGAGATCACTTCAGCACGCTCCATGTAGCAGCAGTCGTCCCGAGCAGCTTCCTGTAACAGCCCCCGGCCTTCCCGACCTCCCTCAGGAGCACACAAAGCGGGTTCCACAGGGTCGGGCTGGACCCTGGGCTGGGCCACAACTCCCCAGAGTCCCCAGTGCTCTCCAGTCTGAGGCAGCACCCTAAGCTGAAGGCCCCACAACAGCCCCGAAGTATTCAAAGACATCTGAGTGAAAGAAGACAGCTGGCAAGACAAGGGTGAGGCAAGTACTGGAATCCCAAATCCAGACCCTTCAGGGGAACTGCATGCCAGCTGCCTCAAAACAGGCCTTGTCCTCAAACAGACCCACCCCGGCCCCAGCAGAGCTCCGGTGTCTCAGAAGCGGCCACTGCCACCACAAGCCTAGGACACTGACTGAGAACCATCAGGAGGGAGGAGTGTGGCAGCACCTGCAGGACAGGTCACTGTTCTCTAAACCAACCTGAAAAACCACCGCCAATTCCTGTGATTATTCAGAGCAATGTTTCCTCACTGGACTTAAAACTTGAGATTCTCAACATAATTCTTAAATCTTAAAAAAAACAACTTATCTAAAGAAAGTCCTCTTGTATGTAAAACAGACATTAATATTTTGTCTTGAAGACATAAAATAGGTGGAAGTTTAGTATTGCTAATTTGCTTTAAAACATAATAATTTGCTAAAAAGAGAACTTCCAAATAGCTCACGATAACAACTCTGGAATATGTGTTCATCATAACCCCTCTGAAGCCAGGTATTGTCACCAAAAGCAAAGCTTTCTTACAAAGGCTCTGGTACCTGGCAGTTCACTTAAAGGGACTTTAAATTTCCTCAGGATTACGTTTTCTGTTACCATGGTTACATCCTCCCACAGCATCAAGGGGACAAGCCTTTGTAGACGGACTTTCCCTACAGAACAGGAAAACCAGATCTCCAAGAAAAGGAACAACTATCAACAGCATGACGGTCTCTCTCCGTGGTTAGAAATAAAGCACCGATTCCTTCCACTTCTAACTTTAAAAGACAAAAATGAGCAACACCAGCAAAGAACCAGCAACAAACAGTAAGAACCACTCACATGTTCTGTGCCCAGGCATCAGAGAAAAAAGAAACCTACCTCTCCGAGATCACAGAATTTAAAGATACCACGTCCATCTACAAGGAACCACTGTGGGGTGTACTCCGGGCACCACTCCACTGCTGGGGGACGGAGACCAGAACGCCACTCACAGCCCACTCGGCTGCAAACCCACCCTCTGCTGAGATGCGCTGGCTCTATCAGCGCACGCTCTACTCCAGCGAGTCGCAGGGGACAGCGGCTTCCGACAATTCTCTTTCTATCCACTCCTGCTACGAGCACAAACACCCTTGACTTTAAATTCAAGTGTTCCACTCAACTTATTTCTTCATTATACCAAATCCCTGGAATGGGAGGGCCTTAACTTTAACAATTCACATAAATACCGGGGGTGCCAAAAAAATGTATGCAAGTGGACACTTTGGTCAGTGTTGCTCAAGCAGCAGTTCGCCATCATCAGAAGTGTCTGGATGCTGATGGGAACCACTTTGAGCACCTCTTGTAAATGCAGAAGTCAAACGTGACTTGTTTCCATCTTTTGTTATTGGTATATATTGAGTATTACAATTTTAATACGGTTTTCCTTTCTTAAAATGTGTACACTTTTTTTTGGCACCCTCTGTATAACCAGAGCACATTGCTTTCCTTATAAATCCTCAGAATGGCTCATTAATATAAAAAAATCCATCATGATTTACAGTTCCAAACCTGATTACCCATCTACAATTCTCAACACAACAATTTTATATTCTGAAACCTAATAGTCTCAAGCTAGGATTTTTGTAAATGAAAACAAAGTAAACCTCCTTGTTTAATGAAGGAAAAAAATGCTCAAAGTACCAAATGAGTCTAACTACTGTACAATTTTGTTACTTAATAGCATATTCCTTTCTATGACACAAATTTCAAATACTACCAAAACAATTTTTTAAAATGCATACTTCATCAAAGGGGAAAAAGCACTTTCAAGAAACTACACAGCACTTGTGTTACCAAACCACAGGCCTCGTAAGACTAGAGGCAGGAACCCAGAACCCCGCGGCTCTCGGCAGACTCGCCTGGGGAAGCCGACTCACCTTACTGGGACCTGTGTGTGTACTTGTTTTTCCTTCTGGTGACTTCGGTGGAGAGTGTACATCAGACAGATCTAGTGCACCCTAAAATAGCCACAGTTTAAAATTAAAACATATTTAAAAATAAACACAAGTACACTAATTACATCTCAACAGAATTTTAGCCTTTAAAACCACTATATGTGTTGGTATGTTTAATTCTTCCTCATTAGTGTAAATATACTTCTTAGATTTTCTCCTAAGTTTAATTTAAAAAACACAACAGAATAAAATGCACTTAGATGCCAATTTCCTAAGTATGTCACTCAGTCAGTCCGCATGTAAATATGCCCCATCTTCCTTTCCAGCAGGGAGCTCCATCCCGGCGTCCTGCGATTCTCAAGCAGCTACACTTCCTCCCTACTTCGTCTTCTCAAGACGAAACATCCAACTGCAACCCTCTCATGCAACGTGCTCTCTTCAACTGGCAGTACTCGCCTTCCAAGCCTTCACACCCATCACTTTCTTTTCGTTTCTTAGCACTGGTTCCGGTCCGCTGCCCCGCGCCCACTTCACAGAGCTAACTGGACACTAAAGAATACTCTAGGAAGGGCCGGCCGAGTGGCGCGATGGTTAAGAACTCGCTTGGGATGCCAGAGGGCCCCGGTTCGGATCCCACATATGAGGGCCAGTGACACTGCCCTCCGCAGCTGAGATGCTGAAAAACAGCTCAACCTGGAGCTGGGCTGCCGTGAGTCTCCGGCGACGGCGTGGGCTGCAGCCCCTGTGGCAGTGGATTGCCATGGGCTACCGTGTGTGGCCAGCAGCCAGCGTGAGCGGCCAGCAGCCGCAGTGAGCGGCCGTCCAGAAGCCGGCGACTGATCTGCCTCGCCTGGGAAGAGCGCAATGATGGTGCCAACTTGGGCCAGTGAAGCAACATCCTCCACAACTAGATTGAAGAACAAAACGACAGCAACTTGTCTGTTCCCCTTCCCCCAACTCCCCAGCACTGTTCCCATCCCCCCAATTCCCCAATAAAAAATTAAAAAAAAAAAAAAAGAATACTCTAGGAAGTGGACAGGCAACTCCTGGGGCTGAAACCAAGGAGTCTGCAGAACAGAGACGTGCAGAGGAAGACGAGAGCTGGGGAATCTTCTGTCTTGTACAACTTTCACTTTGTCAGAAATACAGAGAATCAAGTCCTGTTTTTCACACGGGACTCCAACGGCTGGTGGGTGAACCAGGTGGGTATGTCACGTGAGGAGCATGCAATTCTGGTCTTGAGCTAGGGGTGACGACTGAGCTGGCCTTGGGAGTCATCGGAGAGTAATGTAAAACCAGAAACAGGAATGAGGACGGCCAGAATCTATGCGATCCCCACACGCCAAGCACCGTTCCCAGAGCTTCCCCTACACGCAGCCCTTCAGTCCTCACTACAACCCCAGGACGCTGATACCTCTATCATCTCCCTTTCACAGGTGAGGAACCTAAGGGGCATGGAGCTGAAGTGACTTAAGACGGCCATGCACAGATCGTGGCAGAGCTGGGAGGTGAACCTAAGCAGTCTGGCCCCCAAGTCCATGCTGTTACTGGGAGGCTGAGGAAGGGAGAGCTCACAGGGAGAAAACGTGGGCAACCATGAGGTGAACCCAAGAGCAACTAGGAAAGGAAAAAGGCTGGAAAAGAGAGACAGAGGTCAGGGCCACAGAAGCCAAGAGGTGTGGCCACCAGCTGCAGGCTGCTGGCTCGGGGGAGAGCAGGAACCAAAACTGTTCGGCGTTCTTTAAATTTATGGATCTTTTATTCACTCGTATCTAGCAGAGTGCCCATCACATAAGTGCACACAAAAAACTTGTCGAATAATTACAAACGAATGAAACGAAAACGTAAGAGCTGCGGTGACCGCCTATGCCTAGACAGGCTGACGGACGCACACTCCCAGGTGTGGCTCTGCTTCCCGGTCCCTCCCTCCCCGGCCTCCACGTCCTTCCTAGAACACCCTTCCCAGGCCTCACACCGACGCTGAGTTTAACAAACTTTCAACATGAAAACAACCACTGCCTCCTTTTAACTAAAACTTACTACACAGAATGCTGAGGACTAGTCATTTTTCTATGATACTTCCTCTACAGTCATAAACCTTTGTTTAAATGCCCATTTTCTTATGAAAGCATCTTATCTTCAATAGCTCTCAACTCTTCTAGTACACGGAACTTTCTTACATTTTAGCTTTTAATTAAAAGAATCTATTTATTATGCCTTAGATGCAATGAGTACGCAGTCAAGTTTACTGGCTTCCAAAGATCCTAACAGAAAATACACTCTGAGGCTCTCCAAATAGAGTGAATGGCAGCCCATAACTCCACATTCTTACCTATAAACTTGTGACACATTTAACCAGCTATCCAGCCCAGTTACAATGCTGTCTACGTCTGTGAGCAGTGTCTTTACATAAAGCTAATGTATATAATAGAAATCAGACCATTAATCTCATTAGCAGTATTTCTAAAAGGAAAGGATACGAGTAAGAAAGGTAATGGCTAATCAAAACAACAGAAATGTAAAAATGTTTAGACACTCAGCAAAATCAACAGCTTAAACAGTTTTAGGTCTAGTTAAAATTAGCTAACAGTAATGCAGTCCTTTCACGTTAAAGATGGTAACAAGGAAACTGACGCCATTGAGTGTCATCACATTCCCTGCACCAGCTCTGTGTGTGTGGAAGCCTCACAAGGCCCCCAATGAGCTGTCCTGTCCCCGCCCCTTTCTCAGAAGAGGACCAGGGAGGGGAGCAGCGCCAGCCGGCGGAGGGGCTGGGGTCGGTCCCCCACAGCCAGGCCCACCACTCCTGAGTGTCGTGGATCCACAGCAGGGCCAGCAGCAGCCTGAGCGGCCAGCTCCCCGATTCTCACTAAAATGTACATCTGTACAATCTGAATGTTTCACTTTGTTTTTAAGAACAGCCTTTTTTTATTTAAACCTTGATTCATTATGTATGCACTAATCTGCTCGGCTACACTAGGTAGCCAATGATTAAAGAGATAACAAAGGATAGGATTGTACTTACTTCCCCATTGGTTGGCCCTTTCTCTTTCTGTTGACAGCGTCTGATCACTTCTAATAATAAGGGTCCACCCACAGTCCCTTCTGCTTCAATAATACCTAAATCTCGGGCTAAATTCTCTCGACCTTCAAGACCTTGAAACTAGGGAAGAAATAAGATGTAAAAATAAGCTACAAGTGCACAAAAATACAGCTAAATTATTTTCAGAGTTTAAAGAAAAATAGTTCCAGAACTTAAAGACATCTCTAAACTCAGAGACCGTTTTCCTAATGAATGAAATGTCTATTTTTATAAATTATATATATATGGGGGGAGGGGGACTGAGTGAGAGTGGCCATGGAGCCACAAGGTCACCCCTACCTGAGGTGTACTCCCAAATACATATTCACTGAATGAAACAGTGGACTCAAACCCCACACTCTTTAATGGTATTTTTTCTTTTCACAGGAAGCAGGGTTGCTCATGTGTGTTAAAAACACATAAAATACAATGCCACTCATGAGCAAATTTCTACTTGAAACTCTGCAGATGGGAAATGCAAGAGTCAATTTTTTTAAATTGTATATTTCTTTTACCAAGTCTCTATGTTCAAAGTCTACATTAAAGGTGGAGTCTAACTCCTAACAAATTAACTGTAAAATAACACTCTTTTCACGTTCATAAAGTAGGGACAATGGGCCAGCTGACAGCTCAGGTGGCTTTCAGGAGAAACGGCTAACTACAAAGAATAATCTTTATGTAAGACACTGTAAGTTGTCCAATTTTGTTAACTTTCAGCTTATAGTAAACTCATTTGTATCAAAGCCTTCAAAGGTAGATGTAAATAAAAGTCATCATTCTTACTGTGCTAGTTTCAGGTTGAAAAACGGCCAAGGTGAAGTCAAGATTAAAAAACTGAAGAAATTCTGCAACCAGACTCGCCACCAGCCGGCCTGTGAAGAGCGAGAGTGAGTGAGGGAGACAGAGTGAGTGAGAGAGAGAGAGAGAGAGAGAGAGAGAGAGAGAGAGGTGGTGAGCAAGTCTGAGCCCTGGGGCGTCTTCACTAACGCTGTCCAACAGGACAAACTTGATTAATGGGAGAAAAGAGGCTTCTCAATATAAATGGATTCGTGCGTTCTGCTTCTTATAGAAAAATTCGTCTCATCCAACCATTTCCCATGACCAATAAAATTTATAGCAACTTAACAGTTGCCCAATAAAATGTGATTTTAAAGTAAGGACCTGTAAAAATCAGACTTCAAAAAATAATCTGAAATTCCTGATTTCTCCCAAATAGTCAAGATTGGAAAATTCAGAGACAGACAAAGTAAACAAGAAGAAGCCAAACATCTTACCATCTTTCGTATTTAAAAACTTTTCCAGGCTCTCATTGACTAAAGGAGTTTTGTTCTGTTAAAAAAATGAAAGACTGTAAGTGTCATGTGATCACCCTAAGAACAACTACAAAATGTGGATTCAAGTTTAATTTTTTGGCAAAGATGTAGGTAAAATATTGTCATTCATAAAATTATGGCTAACCCCATTTCACAAAATTGATTACTAAAAGAACTGTTTTGTGCCATTTAATGTCTCAAAGTTAATAAAATAAAGCCATACATAAATTGTGTTTATTTTTAATTTTTAAATGTTTTATAAATTGATTCAACTGCTTCAGAAGCTAGATCTTAAAATACTCACATGAAATGACCTCAAATTTACTCATAAAAACTGATTATTTCAACATATGAAGTTTGCTATTTTGTCATCTTAGATATATAGCATTCGTAGCATACTTATCATGACCAGTACTTTAATTATACATTTACAATCCCCAGTCCATCAGTAGTATGTGACGTGATTTATGTAGTACACAGGCCAACTTATTTTTGTCATTAGACAATTATTTGAGTAAGTAAAGAAAAAATGCTCTGAGCACAACAAAGCTACTTAAACAGACCACGTAAATTACAGACATAGCGGCAGTCTTACATGTGGCTGATATAAAATGATGCCAGCACTCTGGACAGCGGTCCGGAGGAGTTTTCAAAGTTAAAGATGGCCCTGCCATATGCTCTACCCCTAGGTATTTTCTCAAGAGCAAAGAAACAGACCCAAGCAACAAACACGTACATGAATGTTCACAGAAGCCGTATTTACAAGAGTTGAAAACTGGAAACAACACAAATGTCCATCAACAATTTGTGAATGACTAAACACTACATAGAAATCAAATGGAATGAACTACTCATACAAATGACAACATGAGTGAATCTCAAATGCATTATGCTGAATGAATGCAGCCAAACCAAAAAGAAAAAGTACGTACTGTAAGAGTCCATTTGCATAGCTGTTAGGAACACTTGGGGTGCCAGAGTTGGGGTGGGGAGTGAGGTATTACGAAGGGGCTGGAAGAAACTCGAGGGTCATGGATACGTTCACTACCTCGACTGTTCCCTGGTTGCATAAATAAGTTGTAATGTATCAAATTATACATTTTAAGTATGTTGAGTTTACTGTAGGTCAACTGTACCTCAATAAAGTTTTAAGAAAATCCAAAAAGGATGAGGGGCAGGGCCGGCCGAGTGGCTCAGTTGGTTAAGAGCTCGCTCAAGGGTTTGAGCTCTGAGCAACAGCGGTTCGAGTCCAGCCCGAGCTGAGCAGCCGCTGAGCTGCCAACAGGTAGCAGGATGGCTCAGCTAAAAACAAAACAAAACAAAAAGGATGAGGGGGAAGTTCACAAAAAGGTCTTCAGCAGGCTGGTCTAGGAAATTTGAAGACATTGGGTCAACCGGAATATTTGAAGAAAATGGAGGGGCAACATGAACTGTGTATTATGAATAGCCATCCTAGGAGCAATGTGGAGCGCAGACGTCAGGACCACCAGCGAAGGAGAGCAGGAAGGGGTGAAGTGATTTGGAAAGATAAGCACAGGCCAGGGGGGTCAGCAGGGAACCTCAGCCAGCCGAGGTACAGAGCTGACAGACAGAGCCCAGCAACGGCCGGGACACGTGGAAAGAAGGGCGAGGGCTCTCGGACTTCCCGCTTGGATAAGTGACGGTCCCCGCGGGCAAACAGTACAACATGCAGTCTGCAGCTCAGGAAGGCAATATGGACGAGATACAGGGTTGAGTTACTGGTATGGTCAAGGTCATCCAGGCAGAGAACCCACAACGGGACTACGGGATGCTGCACCAAGGATTCAAGTGCAGTGTGTAGGAAAAGGTCATGCTGCAGAAACCAAGGGATGGACAAAGAAAAAGGAAAAAGAAACAAGAGAAAAAAGACCCAAAATTCAAAGATTTTCAGGAAGGAAGGAGGAATTAAGAATGTCAAACGTGGGGCTGCCGGATGGCTCAGTTGGTTAGAGCGCATGCTCTTAGCAACAAGGTTGCCGGTTCGATTCCCACACAGGATGGCGGGCTGTGCCCCCTGCAACTAGATTGAAGGACAATGACTTGACTTGGAGCTGATGGGTCCTGGAAATAACACACTGTTACCCAATAAAAATTAAAAAATTAAAAATTAAAATAAAATAAAATAAAATGTCAAATGCCACAAAGAGCCACTAAGACAAGTAAGAACTAAGATACACTTACTGACTTAGGATGCTTCTTGACGGCAGCAAAAGAAAGTACTGAGGTGTAGCAGTGATGGACTTAGGATGTTAACGGATTAAAGGGTGTCTGTAACATAAATAGTATAAGACATACACGTTTTTCCAAAGCTTGACAGAGGGAAAAAGGGGGTATTAAAAGCAGAACATGAGACAAGGGCAACAGCTTTCTCCTTGAGATATAAACTTGTTCCCACGCTCAGGAGAAGAGCTACAAAGAGGGCGGGGCCGAGAGTCCCACCAAGGCAAACCCAGACCCAGAGCAAGTGATGCTTCTTGGCGAGGCTCTGTCCTCCACACTAAAGCAGAAAGGAAAGACGTGCAGGGTGCAGACGCAGGCAGGGTCGCGGGAGGACACACAGTGCCGACCTGATGGGACAGACAAGACCGGCTGTGCAGATGAAGCCGTGGGCGGGGTGGGCGGCCACGGTGAGACTGACATGGGAGACCGCAGAGCTCTGGGCCTGTCAGGGCCTCGCTCAGCGTGTGCCCACCGTTCAGTGACTCCAGCACCCCACAGGCTTGGGTGACAAACGGGAGGGGAGTTAGTTTGCTGAATTAAATGACCAATAAGAGTTTCTTTCCAGACCAAGAATAACTGAAAGGCAAGGTAGCCAGGGTTCTGGGGATCTGGACAGTCGGGTCCAGGCCAGTCAGGGCCAAAGGCAGCGAAGGGCAGACCGACGCCTAGACGAATACCCAAGGGCCAAGAACCGAAGAGCTTCACCAAGTGAGAGAGGGGCAGGCATCCAGGTCTGAAGAAGTGACAGGAAAGGAGGCGGACGGTCACAGAGGAAGCTGAAGACCTTGACGACGGAGTGACTGTGTGGACAGCAAGTTCCAGAATCTTTACTCAGGGTGGTGGTGAGACTTGGACCAGAGAGAAAAAAAACTAAACACACCTAAACGCAGAGGCGGTTGGACCTGTGACGGTAAGGAGGATTACATGTTTAAGTTAACGGGGGGGGGGGGGGGTCTGACAGTTTGGGGGTGACTTGCATCCTGTATTCCCCCCACCTGGTGGGATGCACAACGCGTATTAAAGGTTCTGAGGGATCCTGCAGGAAACTCTTTGACAACAGAACCATTTCTTCAAATAGCTCCTGTGACCTTGTGTTTCAGGTGTCCCCAGCGGGAGGGGGTCTACGACACCTAAGATTCAGTATTGGCCTCAGAGGTACTGTGGCGCCTTAACTTTCCTCAGATTGTTCCAAAATTCTGAAATATACACAAAAAGATGAATGCCGACTCTACTGTAAAGAAACGTAATCCTTCACATGCAACACGGCCCCTGCCGTCACATTTCACAGTGGTTTTTTAAGTAGTTAGAAATTCAACGTAAATGAACACGGTCATATTAACATTTGTAGGTTTCATACCTCTACTTTTTCTTGTTCTTCTAGTGCCAAGAACACAGCTGCTCGGAGTTCAGCCTTTAAGAAAAAGGGGGGGAGGGAGGTGATGGAACAAAAACGGCTTCAAGACAATCGTCAAGACAAGAAACACGCAGGACGTTAAGTGCCAGCGGCACCATCCACACCACCCGCAAAAGCGCACACGGGCCAGACGAGAACGCTGCGCGGGCAGGTGCAGGGGCCAGAGACGCACCGAGGCGCGGGCGCAGCCACGCAAGCCCTGCGGGGCCCCGTGGCGTCCCCCCTCAGCGCCCATCCCCCGGCTTGGCCCAGCTGCCGCGCCTGCTGGCCCCGACACGGTCTGAGAGGGACACTCCGAGAACGCCCCACCAGGCCGGCAGCCCGCTGGTTGCAGCCGACTCGAGGGGAGGCCCCCACCCCGGGACTCGCCGAGCGGCGGGCGACTCCACCGCCCGGGGGCCGGGGGTCGGGCTCCTCTCCCGCACGCGCCGCGCGGCCCGGGGTCTCCCCGGGGTGACCCTCTACCCCCGAGGTCGCCCGCGCCCGGACTCCGCCCGGGAGGCCAGCCCGACGCGCCCCGCGTCCCTTTGTGACGCCAGCGGTCCGCACAGGCTCTACGGCGCGCAGGTGCGGCCGGCCTCCCACCCCACCTTGATGCGGTTCAGGACCCCGCTGTTCTCCAGCGTCTGCACCAGCAGGTCCCGCAGCTCCGTGTCCTCCTCCGCCACCACCGCAGCCGCCGTCGCCGCCATCTTGCTTCTCCAAGACAACCGCCCAAGCCGCGCGAACGGCCAACGGCCGCGGCAGATGTCTCGCGGCGCGCGGCGACGCGGGCGAGACCACGCCCCGGCGCCGGTGCGCAGACCCCCACGCCGGGGGCGGGGCCTCGGGGCGCAGGCGGACGCCGGGGGCGGGGCCTCAGGTCGCGGGGGCGGGGCCTCAGAGTCTCCGGAGTCGGGAGCTTTGACGGCGTTTTACAGGGGGCGGGGCCGTGGTCTGGCTCAGGTGGGGCGGGGCCGGGGCTTCGGGCGGGGCTCGGCCCTGGGTCCTTGGACTGGGGCAGGCGGGACCCCGGAACTTGGAGTGCGGTGGGGGTGCTGCGGGCGGCGCCTCCTGCTGCGTCGTTATCAACATTATAGTACGTTTTATACAAGTAAGTTGACAGCACAGCCTTTATCGTTTCCTTCCGTGCCTTGTCCCGTTTCCCCACCACCCGCCCCGGTGTCTCTTGGGCTCCCCTCCCGAATAAACTGCTGACACTCAAGCCTTGTCTCTGGGTCCGCTTCCGGGGTTCTCAAGCCCAGACCGTTACCCCAGACGTAGTCACGTAAAGCCGGTCAGGAGCGAGTCCTGGAATCGGATCGCCGAGCCGCCAGGCGGCAGCAAGCGCCCTCCCCGCCGCTGGTGTCAGTGGGGCGGCGGGACCCCGCCATGGCGCAGAGGCCTCGCTGTCGTGACAGGAGGGCGGGGACACGCGGGAGGCGCGCTGACTGCTGCGGGGTCTCCAGCATTTGGCGACAGGGGCGATAGTAATTTTAAAGATCGTGGAGCCAGTTTTGCTAATGATACCCAGGTGCTGCAGGAAGACTGCCGGGTTCGGGTCAGCCCGCCGTCAGCCCAGGGCATGGGCACGGTGTGAGAGCCGCCCTGCGAGCCGGGCCTCCCGTGGCATCGCATGGGCAGCTTGAAACCCACGACGGCGTGAAACGCCGGGCAGACGGACAAGCGCTCTAAGTCGTGGCTTTTTTTTTCCAAGAGAGCCATTTGTTAAGCATTTACTAGCACGCCACTGCCCTCGGGAGGTTCCGAAATCGGAGCATTTATACCGTTTAGGTCTCAAAACCTCTGGGCCTTTCTAAGCCTCCGTCCCCTCGGCTGTGAAGTGTCAACCTACCTCTCAGGGTCTTTGTAATACAAAACAAGTTTGTTGGAAATCACCAGTAGTGCCTGAGAACAGAAAAGGATTCTTTAAGAAGTTGGATACCTGAAACGAAAGAAAAGAAAGAAAGAAAGGGAGGGAGGAAGGAAGGAAGGAAGGAAGGAAGGAAGGAAGGAAAAGGTTGGGTTTTGAGATTGGCGGTAAAGCGGAGAGCGATGAGATGGGAATGACGTGAGAGGGGAAGGTCATTACACACGTAAAGGCTGACAGAAGGGAGAGACAAGGACTGGGCAGTGTGGCCCATGATGGCGAACATGGATCTGATCCGTGAGAATTAGCACACACGAGCGAAAAGGGGCACCAGTGGATCCAGAAAAAATGGGAGGAGACCCATGGAAAATGTGGGCTTCCGGTGGGGGAGCCACGTGTTGTAGGCATCGGAAAACGGGGGGGGGGGGGAGTGCAGTCGGTATCAGCGACAGACCCAGTCAAGCAGCTGGCCCCAAGCAGATAATGATGGGGTATTTGGGGAAGGCAGAGTTTGAGGTGTCAGCTGCACCTCTAGCTTTGCAAATCCAGAGGGGCATTTGAGATCTATTTATTTGGCATGTTGAATTAAACTCAGCTGTATACCAGAAGCGATGTGTGACATGAAGCGTTGTCATGATGATGGAGGATTTACGGCACACTTCAAAACACACCTTCTCTCCACCGTAGCTCACACCCGGCTGACTGCGCCAAACAAGTTGAAACCTGTCCCACACTGTTACTAAGGTTCCAGTCACCGCTTCCTGTATTGAAGATCCCTGCCTTTCTGTTGGATGGCACTTGGCAGCAGCAGTCACCGTATTTTGTGATCACAACGGGAAAAGCTCCGTGGCACATATTGCTTCTGATACAGCAATTTCTGACAAATAAAAACATTATGGGCTGGCCGAGTGGTTCAGTTGGTTTAAGAGCTCGCTCAAGAGTACGAGCTCTAGCAACAGCAGTTCTAGTCCTGGTCCAAGCTGAGTTGCTGCTGAGCTGCCAACAGGTGACAGGATGGCTCAGCTAAAAAAAAAAAAAAAAAAATTACGGTGTGTCCTCACACACTTTATTCACCGGATCTGGCACCATGTGACTTCAGGCTCTTCCCCAAAGTCAAAATGACCACAAAAGGTAAACGTTTTGAATCGATTCAGGACATTGAGGCAGCCACGACAGTGCAACTAAAGACAGTCATGAAAGAGGACTTCCAGAACTGCTTCAGAAAGTGGCAAGAGTGATAGGATAAGTGTGTTCAAAGCTAGGGGAAGTATTTTGAGGGGGATTGATGTGGGGGTTTTTACTGTAATAAATTTTTTTTAATTTAAACATTCTCCGTATTTTGTGATCATATCTCGTAATACTGTTGCTTAATATTTATTTTAGTAATCGAAGGAAATCATACAATTAAATTTAAAGAATGTCCCAAATAAGCCTTAAATCAAGAAGGAAGAAAGGAAGAAATGGAAAATGCATCACTGATTGGCTTGGGAGTTAAGAGAGCTATTAACTTATTAATTTTCATATCTCACCAAAATTGATGGATTTAAGGTTGAAACAATGAAAAAGATGCCCTTAAATGTGATACTAATTATGTGCTTCACATTTAGCTTGTTCTTGTATTTACCAATTTGGTCTCCATATTTTATTTCAGAACATTATAAAGAAGGAACAAGTGCACAGTTGACAATTTTGTTATTTAACTCACTTCTTATCCAAGCTATTCTATATGTTGCTCTTTTTTTCACAGCTTTGTTGAGAAATAATTTGTACATCATACGTTCATCCATTTAAAGTGTACAAGTCAATGATTTTAGTATATTTACAAAGAGAGATGTGTAACATCATCACATTGTAATTTTAGGATATTTTGGTCCTCCCTAAAAGAAACCCCATATTCATTAGCATTCACTCTCCACCCCAGTCTGCAGCCCGAGGCAAACACGAATCTACTTTAGGTTTCTTTAATTTCACCTATCTGGTCAATTTCTATACACGGAATCATATAATGTGGTCTTTTGTGACTGGCTTCTCTCATGTAACATAATGTATTCAAGGTTCATTCGTGTTGTAGCCTGCATTTCCTACCAACGATTAATGTCTTACTGCCAATATCAGATAATACTACATTGTATAAATGGATGCCATTTGTTTATTCATCAGTTGGTGGATATTTGGCTTGTTTTCTAGTTTGGGCTTTCAAGAATAATGCTGCTATGAACACTCATATATAAGTTTTTGTGTGAACATATATTTATTCAGCATAGTATTTCAGATTGACACCTAAAAATAAAGATGACGTGCCTTTAAAAAAAAAAGTGAGGGCCTGGACTCATGCTATAGCAATGGCACAGAGAAGAGAATGGATTTGAGATATGAATGTGCTACAGGGACCAACTCCGCAACCAGACTCTGATAGTAAGCTCAGGGGGCTAGAACAGGGGCAATGCCTTTGACTTCCCAGTTGCATCTTTAATAGTAAAACATAGAAAATGTATATTGAACCATGGCGCTAGCCTTTCAGCCTATACTCAGGACTATCCACGCTTCCTCTCTCGAGGTCAGCCATCCTGTGTGTGTGTCAGGGTCGGGATAGCTTACACAGAGCTGGAGAATGAATAAAGTGCTCCACAGCCTATGTGTTTCTTAAATGTTTTATAGCTTGTGCAAAAGACAACAGCATGCTGGAGAAGGAGAAGAGACCTGCATCTCCCCACTGGAATACTCTTCACACCTTACTGAAACTGCTTAGTTCATCATTTCAACAAGGGCTTGGTACCAGGTTTTGTGTAGTGGTTACAGAATGAACTTGAGCCCCACTGCACAGACTCACATTCACTTCTGGTTGTATTGACTGTAGCAAGTTCCTCAATCTCTCTGTGCCCCAGTTTCCCATTTGTAAATAGGGTAACAGCCTCTGGTGTGATTACGTGTATATAGGTAGAAAGATTACTAGGTAGAACTGAATGTCTGAAGCACAGAAAGCACGATAAGAATATTAACTGTTCGGAGTTGTTTTGTATATGCAACCTCATTTCATTTTCCCCGTGATGCTTTTTTTTTAGTTAGTCGCTATTTTGTTGCAACTAATGCTCAGAAAAGTTAGGTAGCTTACCCACAGCCCCAGAGCTGGCAGCTAAGATTAACCACCAAGTCTATTCAGTTCCCAACACATACTCTTTCCACCATATTTTTTCCTTCCAATATTTATAGCACGTAACTTAAATGAGAGAGGAAAGGTGATTCTACCTTCCTAAAGACACTTTCATTGCCACCGGGGGACAGTGTGCACCAGAACAGCTGGCAGGGGCCCTCTTTTTCATTCTTTCATTAACTGCTGGAAGGGGTGACGTGGAAGTGGACAGCTAATGCCATCAGTCAATGGATTCTCCATTTAACCGACGCCCTTCTATGAGCTGTTCTTCAATGCTGAAAGGAATATGAAAGCACTTTCCTTCTCCTCTGCTTCTCTGAGGATTGATTTATTTATGTAGCCTTACAATGCGTAGTCCTCTTTATGAATTTAATCAGCCTGTTGCTAAGTGCACGTGTACATGTAACTGATTCGTACAGAAGCTATAGCTACCAGTATATGGTCCATTCAGACCTTGAAAATGCACCTACCCAGTGTTTCAGAAGCGTATACTACTCATATTTGGAGAACTGGGGTTTTCAAAAATGACTTTGAATAGCTGTTACTACTTTAATCCACTATTTTAACCCATTACTTAAATTTAATTTAAGATTTAAGCTCAGAATTTGGCCAGTATATGAGGGCTGAGATAAAGTAATTAAAATCGTTAGAAACCAGTTCTATTTTAATACTGAAATGGATGCTTTTAAACCCTAGTTATAAGCTGAGAAATTCAGCTTTAAATACTTAAATTACATAACATTGATATAAATCATAAGGTGTAGAGAACTCAAATTTTCTGTTCTGTTTGTCAAGG